AACAAGAGTGGGAATCCTGCTTTCTATATGTAAATCAATCAACTATACACACGAAAACAATACATTGACTTTAGTATGGTCCATGTGAGCAAACAGACGTGCGAGAGGAAAGGCATTCCAATACAAGCACAACCCAGAGCGGTTATCTATTATTCATTATGTGGCAAACGTGATAGATCAACACCTGTGCAAATCACCGAGGCCGGGTCCCGTCACTTCCCCCGTCTGACTGTGGTCATGTAATCACACGAGCTGTCAGCCTGTGTGACTGTCTGTGTTTGACCTGAGGTGAAGCCAAGTTTCTGTCTCTCAGGGTTTACATAATAGTCCACAGTGAGATTCATATTAAACAACAGTTATTTTGTGCATACACGCGCACACAGTCGAGAATAATGGCCTTTTTTGGCATTAATTCTGAGCGCAGAACTAAATAATTTAATCTTTTTTTTAATGCAGTGATGTATACACAAAGAACAAAGAGTCTTTTATTCAGACAGGTGTTTGGTTGCCAAGTTGTCAGCTTAATTAAGAGTTCTTTTTTCTAACCAACTTTGTGTCTCAGTGGAAAAAATACACAAATATATCCAGAATCTGTAGCATCTGTGGGTTAGAAAGTCAGACTTAATCACTTTTTAATGCTACCTGTGATTCTGTTTGATTCAAATGATCCAGTATCAAATAAACACTCAGTGACACAGTGGAGGGAGAGCTACTTGGATCCGTCAGTGATGAAACATAAGCAGGTGCTCCTGATGCATCTGTAGGCTAATAGGGAATAGATTTAAGGCCCACTGCTTCGTTTGAGTTCAAAAAGTGTAAAATATCTTTCCTCATTACAGCTGCATTATTAAAAACAAGCCCAGCGTGTGTGTGCGATTGTTTGACCCCGAGGTTGTAGACCTGTGTGGGGTCAATGTTCTCGTTTTCACACTTGTAGCCATGATATTAACGCATCTTAAGTTAAGTTTTTATTTTTTAGCTACATTATTAAAAACAAGACCAGAGAATATCATGTGTGTATGTGTGCATATTAAAAATTGTTTGCTTTCTCCTATTCCCTTCCCTGTGGACAGTCACAGGAAAATGAATGGCAAAACCAGTCACTTTATAATTAAAGTTGCAGCAGGTCACTTTTAGAAAAATAACCGGTTGGTGGTTTGAAGACAGTTGATTGGTCTCATTCCCAAAGCGTCGGCCTGGCAACGAGACTCAGCAATCAACTGTTGTTCTCGGCTCTGATTGGTCGCTTTCGTACGGACCCGGTGGATTCTTGCAAATGCTGTTAGGAGCCACTAGGACGAGCCAGATTCAGATTGTCTGTCTCATGTACGACTGTTTTAATGAGATATTTCAGAAACAGGCTGTGAAGTGTTTAGGAGAAACTACGGTGGCCAGAAACGCAAAAAAAATGCAGCTAGTGTTTGGTTTGTCCATTCTGAGCTACTGTAGAACCATAGAAGGAGACCCGCGGCATCTGTAGATAAAACGTCTCATTATAAGGTAACAAAAACCACAATTCCTATATTCAGGTGTTACATATACACTAATGAAAACAAACCTATGAATATTATATCCCATTTCTGCCAGTAGATCCTCCTAAATGTTACACACTGGACCTTTAATGACTCCTGTTTTGTTTTAATGTGATGACATTCACGTGGTTTGGTGGTTTTGTGTGATTGTTTTCTACCATCACAATAATCTGATGATGTTCCATATGTTTCACTTTACTTTACTGCAGAGCTTTACCAACCTTTAACCTGCAGGGGGCGCTGTTCTCCACTAAATACAGATTGGAGCCAACCCAAACTACAACAGTCCAATCCATAAAGCAATTAAATGCAGCTCTACATCACTGCCTGGAAAAATCAAACTGCTGGTATGTTAAAAGCCAATCTATCACAAGTCGAACAACAGCGCTTCATATGCGAGCTACTTCATAAACCAACACATGTTTGTGTCAGGGTGAGTTTAAAGCATGGATGGACACAGCTGGCTCTTCTTCCCGTGATGGTTTAGCTTCTTTAGTGTGTGTGAATCCGCTGCGTGTTTGTGTCCTCCACACCTCCTCCCCACAGCATCCTCCAGCAGTAAACAGAGGAAGGTTTCCACGCTGTAAATGACTGCAACGGGATGCCAACTGCTCTCAGACTGTATAATCCACTCTGCTGCTGCAGTGACAGCAGACTCAGTGGGCCTGCCGGGTGTACGTTTCTGTGCATAACTTTTAAAAGGCAATGAAGGCCAATCTGGATTTAGCGATATTCAAACTGTGATGACGGTTGTGGGCCGCTCCCAATCAAATCTGATGGAACCACACCCAAACAGTCCTAATAAAGCAGATACGCTGCGTTTTTACAGTGTAACTAATAATTCATATTACATAAGGATGGTTTATCTGTGACTGTAGTCATCAATATTTCATGTGATAAAGAAATACTCAAAGCGGTTGTTTTAAAATGTATGAAATGAATTATGAACATAATGGAGCATTTAGCAGCAGACATTTCTCTGAGGAGTCGGTGGAGACTAAAACCAGAGCTAAAAACTGAGCGAATATTGGACTAAAACTTTGTTTAGGTGGTCAGAAACGTGACTCCAAGTGAAAGCAAATGTTGCTCCATAACTACTGGATGCATAAATATGCAACTGTTTGCCATATCTACTTAAAATGTGATAATATGTCTCTGCTGTGCTCACAACTTGTTTTTACTGCCCCCAAGAGGCCACTGTTAATGTTTCATAAAGTTTAACAGCCGTAATCAGGCTGTGTCAGAGATGTTTATATTACCTATTCATGGTTTTGTTAAATGGAAAGAGTAAATGGATTGCATTTATTGCACTTTCATCCAACGCGCTTTACATTTTGCCTCTCATTCACACACACACACACACAACACACACACACACACACACACACACACACACACACACAGCTACCATGGAAGGTGGCTTTGTAATTACTATGTTTATTGGATTAATTACCCAGTGTAAATGTGTTTTTAACATCTGCTGTGTGCTTTTACTGGTATTACTACATGTATTATATAATTATATACCTAAATAGTGTTCATATATATACTTTTTAGACATCTGCTTGCACTGACAATATAACACAACCATTTCTATCTTGGCCTATGTTTGCACTCTTCTGTTATCTCTATACTGTATATGCTTTTAAATATTTATTATTTAATGCAATGTCCTTCCCTGTGAAGTAGCTGCTTTGCTGATGCAATTCCCCTTCTGGGATCAATAAAGCAGCATCTCTATACAATGCTGCCATATCCCTTCAGGCTGTGTCATAATCAAAAGATCGAATTAAAGCAGGCACCATTGTGTTATGGGTGATGTTATGTTAAAAAGGAGGCGTTTTAAGTGTGTTTTGAGATCAAGTGTTGGAGTTCACATTGGTCATGTGGCGGTATACAAGAGACAAACAGTGATTTTTAACACAATCGATCAATACGGTGGCAAAAGTGAAAACACTGGCGATTTTATTCACCTCCTATCATTATATTTGAGATGTTTTACTAATTCAAAAAGGCCCCTGCAGTAACCCTCTTTTCTTATTCATGGTTTGTTATTTGTTTTTCTTCTGTTTACACGGGATGTGCCCCATTTGCCAAGCAGGCGAATAAAGAACTGAACTGAAATCAAACTCGGTGGAATATTCAAAATGAATACAGCCGATTTACACAGTATAATTGCCTTAAACCTACAGCCTCTAATACCTCAAAATTAGTGTGGTACAACTTGACTTATTGATAGTAAAATGCTACATTTAGCACATTTAGCGACCCGCAGGGAGTGTGTGAGAGTGTGAGTGTGTCGGTTAAATCCATCGGTCTGGGTGTTAAAGGAATAGAGCATCTTGTTCCTTTCACTTGGCTGCTGGATGTTAATAGGAGTGGGCTGACTGACAGGCACAGACAGAGTGAGTGACTCAGCAAGACTCCAAACTAGTCAAAGCTATTGTGATTCAGAAACCTTTAAAAAAAAAAAGAAGAATGCACAGCAGCCACCAGAGCTTCGCAATCAAGGCACAAACATACCTGTGTATGTGAAAGCAGACTTATTTACATCTCCCTTAAAAGACATTTTTAGCCAACTGTAGCACAATAATCTTAACAATAAAGCGAACCTTCAAGCTAGAATATGCAACTTTTGCTGCTGTACATTATTGCAGTATTAAAGGTTGTCAAATATCGACACTCTGGCAACCAAAAGAGTCTTTATTTGAAGACCTGGGAATGAGACTCAACAATAAACTATCTCTGGACTGACCCCACCAACCCAATCCCTAATTTGAACCTTCAAGCTGCAGCGTATAACACTTAAGAGGATCTACTGGCAGTTTTCATTAGTGTATAATCACCTGAATATAGGATTTATTGTGTTTTTGTTACCTTAAAATGAGCTGTTTTTAATCTACAGCGGTTCGAGTCGCCGTCCATGGAGTCCGCTATGTTGAACCACCATGTTTCTACAGTAGTAGCAGAGTTTTTGCGGCCTGTTCTCATTCAGAGGTCAAATTTATACACGAGCAGTGTTCAGTTCAGTCACTGCTAGATGCCACTAGATCATACACACTGGCCCTTTAATTCAAAAGTGAAGCTACGTTTTTATTTTAGAGGAATTTCTTCAGCCCCTTAACCACCGTTCGCACTTATGATGTCTGTTCTTCATAAATATAGAAAGACACACACACACTCACACACACACACACACATACACACTCACACACACACACACTCACACACACTCACATCCCATCTTATTTCTCTCTTATCCAGAGAAATCCTTTCATCAGCCTTTCAGAGCTGGGTAATCAAAGTATAAAGAACCACGTCAGTCTGCTACTGCCAGAGGCTGATGTGTGTGTGTATGTGTGTGTGTGTGTCTGCATACACATGTGCTGTTACCAGGTGCTAATCCGATACCATGTGCTTCCAACACTGATGTTAAGTAAAATGGAAAAAAAAAAATATCAATCTCACCTCAGGCCAAACGTGTGAGACTGCTCATAGTGGAACAGGGAATTAATCTTTGCATCTGAATTCACAGCAATCAGCCTGTCAGTCAGATCCTGTGGAGTTAAAAAAGGAAGCAGAGTGGATATTTACGACGTAAGGTGAAAAATGTACATCACCCTCAGTGTATTGGGAGTTTAGAAAGGAGCCTTTTGCGAGGTAAAACAGATGCGTGGGTGGTGTTTGAAGGCTGAATAAAAAGTGCAAACATGCCCTCAAATGGCTGGAGGAGGCATTGCACGAAGTCTGGGCTACACTCACAGGAATAGAGGTTGGCATCTCTCTCAGGGTGTATTCACTCTTGTTGGCTAAAGGCTGCCGGCCCAGGAGCTCCCACACCGACTGGGAAGAGGAGAGCAGGTTGGCCAAGGACAGTAAGGACTGGAGACAAAAAACAGACAGAAAGACAGTTAGAGAAAGCAGTAAAAAAACAAACAAGAAAGATACACAAAAAAATCATCATTTTAAATTACATTTTTAAATTAAATCTATTTTTGGCACTTAGGCATGAAAATAAGACCTTTTAATAAGTTTGTTTGCAGTCACATAAAAACAAGAACTGTGTGTATTTAAGAAATGACTTACAGCTCAGGCTATAAATGCAGTGGTACTTTATGTGGCATTGAGATGCAAACCTTTAATTAAAAGACAGATAGGTCAACAGAAGAAAAACGTGATGTCTCAACTAGCCAGTTGATGTCGATAAACAGAATTTCAGTGTTTTCTGTCCTGATGCAAAGACAAAACGAACCTGGAAAAAATGATTTTAGGGAAATAGAAATCTGCTAACCGCATGTGAGCACAGTGTGAACACCATGAAATGACATCTGAACAGAACGGTAGCCTGAAGAATAAAAGTGCTCCCGCTCTCATCACTGGCTCAAGAAGAACATGGGAATCAAAGAAAAACAAGACATACATGAAAGTCAGGATTTTGTTTTAAAAAAGTAACAACAAAGCATTTTACAACTGCAATGGTGGTAAAAAAAAAAAATATATAAAAGGTATGGTTTTTCTGAGGTTGAAAGCTCCATTCTTTCATCTTCTCCAATGTGTTTGATGTTTCAAAGGTGCATTACAGACTTTGATATGTTTTATTGTCTGTCTGTCCACTTCTCTTTCAATGTATTCCAACACACAAATTAATCAAGCACACTGCACAGATCTGAATTATTAAAACTGCGAGTACATCGGAGTTAAAAAAACAAAAATGCTGGTGTAAAAAGTCCAAGGCAAGAGGTCAAGGCAAACAGCTTCATTCAACCTTTTTTAATGGCACATTTTATCTGTTTCCAACACAAACTGAGGGCTCTGTTGCCTCCGCGCTGGCCGGGATGGACTCGGAGGTCTGACTGTATGTATAACCTGGCAGCTGACCCTCTGATAAGGCAGGCTTTAAAGTCACCAGTGGCCGGGCACAGTTCACACTTCACTGGCTGTCCGTATTCACTTGGCTAGTTTCACTGAGAGAGACGACTTGGCTCCTGTCAGAGGCCAGCATCAGACACACACATAGAGACACACACTGGAGCTTCAAATCAAAGTCTGAGCCTGTCCTAGACTGAACCTGAAAATCCTGCCAAAATCTAAAAATGCAGCCTCATGCAAGAAAGATTCAACCTCAAGGTTTAAAACGCTGGAGATAAAACGCCACTACGGACCTCTTGGGCTGTAAATGTAACACTTCGTGGCCCGGTTCAATACCTTGAGGCAGCTCCTGTCTATGGGCTCCATGGGTGTGGGCTTGGGCCGGACCACCCTGACGTCTTCACTGCCGCACTCAAGAACAGACCACAGCTCTACCACCAGTGCCCGGACGAAGCCTGCAACACAACATCCAGCCAGTGGTTTCAATATCGGGGAAGTGACAGTGGAGACAGAGAGGAAATATGGAGGGAGAGAGATACGGGAATAACAGGGACTAAAGGTCCCCAGCCAGATTTGAACTGTGGAAAATGTGATTATATGGTATACATCTTAACCATTCAGCTACTACTGCCCACTGGCACCAAAATAGGGGGAATAAGGCAGTTTATCAGTTTATTCTGCATACTGGGGTCCATAAACAGCACAGGAATTGCATAAATTGGGTATGACTGGAAAGCTGAGACTCTTCTAGATTCAATGAGCCCAACTGTATTCATGCGTGACGACGTTCGAGCCCATAGGAGCCCTTTCATTGTAGTGACACTGTTATTTGAAACTTGATCTCACTGTATAAATTGAGCTATTGTGACCACAAACTATAGACCGAGGGCGTTCAGAGGATGTGTGGCTCTCCTAGCTACAGTATAATGACGCCTCTGATTTCTCACCTTTAGCTGTATAAAAACTGTAGGCCAGGCTGGGATTTAAAGGAAGTGCAGTAGTATATTAAATCTTCCAAAGATGGATGTTCCTCCACTTCCGATGCACCAAATATTACAATTTGCCAATTCCAATTAAATTTTACCCGTAGAAATAGTACTCACTGTATGCCACTGTTTCCACCTAGCATTGTGCCTGATACGTGGAATGTATTCAGATAGGATTTTCTTCTAGTCGTAAATGTGTTTCTCAAACATTTCTCGTCACCATACAATACATTATAATACATAACACATTATACATAATACATTAACATTTAACAGCTCATCTTTCTCTTTCTTCATCCACTTATCCTGTCAGAAACCATTTGACAAACCTGTGGCTCCCCGGGAGTCTCGACGTCTGCTTTATGTCGACTCCGCGAAAAACAACTCGGGAAAACGAGCCTCGAGCATCACAGCTGTTAAGTGTTTGTTTGTGCAAGTAAGTGCTTTGGTACCTGAACTGTGCAAAGCCACCACCCCTGGAGCAGTCGCTGCCACCTGTGTCACCATCACCCCGTATCCAAACTTCTCACAGCGACTCACCTGCAGAAAACACACAGAAACCTCAAAAGTGTTTCAGTACTCATAGAAGTCAGAAATTAATGGGATGTAAGGACTTTATAGACAAAATAGGACTTGAATTTGAACCAAACTGAGCCTTATTTTGGATAAAACGACAGCTGTATATTGGGCATTTGTGATTCAGTATGCAAACTGCTGTGACGCTGCTCGAATGTACTAAAGGCAGTACATAATGTAGTTTAGTACACTGAGTAGAAATCAAATTGCAAATTGATTTTGGAGTGCGCAGGCCCTTCATTAATTACAACACAATGTCACAACTAAAAATAGACAGAAAATATAATTACATTCCATAATTAGAGTGAAATGCCAAATGAGAGAAGCAATTACAAGAGTGGGTAAACAATGGCAGTAAATTAAGCCCACAGGGGATTAGCTAAGGTTTGCGGTATGACTGAGTGTGTGTCTACAATATGAATCATGGACAGTACTACGTATGTAAGGCGTATGCAGAGTTCAGGGATTAATTCATTAAACCCAGTGTGAGAGTAGTAGCATGTAACAGCCTCCAGGCTACTCGTGAATACTGATCAGTCTTCAGGAAATATGACTGTGGCCTTGAGGAGGAGCGGGAGCAACAAATTACCAGATCTACTGCAGAATGAATTACGATGACAAAGGCCAACGGAATGAATAAAGGTCTTTAAGATAGATTATGTTCTGCAGGATGGGACATCAAGGAATACAAAAGCCTAAATATACTGTATGCATGCATATTTTATTATTCACAGCAAGCGTTCAGCGTGTGCAGGAGTATCACCAAATCGAAAAGCTTTTTTTTTAGACTGTTTTATGATCATCTTTTTCTCTTTTTTTTGTCCCATCGTCAGGGATTAAACTCTGAAAATGATTTCTCTATATGTTAGCAAAGATGTGGTTCTCCAAGCCGAATGAAAACTTTACATTTTAATTCAATGTAAATAAATGTGCTTGATGGAAGAGTCTGCGCGTAATTACTTTTTTCCTAATCCTGCTTCAGTGTTGGCTGACTGTAACTCAAATCAATGTGGCAGACAATCACTGGAACAGCGTAAGTGCTTTGGCGCTGATGCTATCGAGAAGGATTAAAAAACAGCCCCCCCTGCCAAACCTCCATAAAGGTGATGAAACAGTTCTAACTATATCAACATCAGCACTTATCAGCACTAAAGTCCAGCGCTTTGTCAGAGTCACACTGTTTGATTCATGTGAGGTGGTACGACAGACTTATCTGACTGGCACGGGTTACATAACTTGAAATCTGCTACCACTGCTTTTACAACTAAATGACTCCAACAACATCTGGAGTTCCTTAGTGGAAGGATCTTACATCAGCTGCTGCACAGTCAGCAGGTCTGGAAACCTGAAGAGACTGAGTAGAGCTGCTCCCTCAGTACCACAGATGAGGTGCCCCTGAGCAAGTCATTTGAACCCCAAACTGTGGGCCTTTCAGTGAGTTACTGCAGTTGGACTGGGAAGCTTCCAGGTGTGGCCGTGTGTAAACGTGGAGCCGGGCGTTGCTGTGAGAGAGCATTTGGCTCTGTGGACCTACGGTCTGAAAATAAAGGTTGAGGAGTGGTGAAACCAGTGGTGTAGATGTGCCTAGAGAAGTGGGCATACTCTGCATATAAAGACAAACACCCTGTGTTATAAACCTGTAAGACTACTATTTACTGCAGTATTTGCACATTGTCAACTTCTGCAGCTTGACCTCACGGACTGAGGATCATTCTGAAATTAACATTAGCCACAGAAGAGGTGCAGACTTTACATCAATACTGGTCCACAGACAGGTGAGACAACTATATAATTATGCATTTTGAGGTATTCCTTATTACTTACTCCATCCACTCACAAAAAACGGAAAACTAAGTCGTGCCTTTGCAATCCCAGGGGAAAAAATTCAGCTCCAGAACGCTACTGAATGATAGAGAGGGGCTTTAGAAGTGGGCACAGTTACGATTGTGAAGCACTGTGTTTGTTATTACCTGTAGTTTCTTAGTAAAGCGGGAGAACATGTAGGAGACGCACTCGTTGATGGCTCCCGTCTGCTGGAGCAGCAGCAGGCCTTTAGGAGTTGCAGCAAAGTTCAGCAGGCTGTCCAACAACGTCTCCTCCCAAATGTGCCTGCTCCAAAATTGAAAGACAGAGACAGAGCAAGCTGCAGTGTTACTGTTTGCATTCACACTGCGAGGAACACAATCTGCAAGTCACTGGACATCAGTTCCTCACAAAGGTGAACAATCGGGGGGGGAAATGTAGCTGGTAAACAAGCTTCTTTAGACAGAAATGGAGGCAGTGCCTGAAGTATTTGTGGTCAGATTCTCCATATTTATTGCTTCTTTAAGGATATAACATTTCTAGTTTAAGCATAACAAGCTCCTTACATTATATTGTGTTAATTGTGAGGTTAATTCATCACAATGAGGCAGCAGATTGGATACCGATGCATGTAAAATAAAATAAATAACCTTGTTTTCGCAGTAACTATCATTCCATGTTGTCAGTTACAACTTAAACTCAACAGTCGGGTTGAATCTGAACTACAGACGTTGCACAAGTTAGAGTTAAACTTTAGTTCGCATAAATGCTGCTGCTGAAGTTAACTCCACCCAGCTCATGTTTTCCAGTTTGCGATTACTGTTATATCAGAGCCAAGGCCACCAACATGTAGCACAAAGCATCAACACGAGTTAATCTGCAAACAAGGTAAATCTACAGTACCACAGTTATGTGAGGACCTCCCTCACTATTGCAGCAATATCCTGTTATTTAGGCTGATACGACAGATTATACAAATGGTCTGCTTGGAGTAAAAATGTGTCTCATATGTTTAAATGCAAAAAAAAGGGTAATTTTCTGATTTAATTCCATAAAAAGGCCTCTTCTCCTTCTACCTCATTAAAAAACCCAGAATCTGTGAAATATGCAAATGTTGTTCATTTCTAAAGTTTTCCTGCTCGACACAAGATGTCTCCTGTTTCTACTGTAAAGTCCATTCTCAGTGTGTGTGCACTGACTTCCAAACTATTTGTAATGTAAGAAGAAACTATTAATTATACATCACTTTTAGTGGAGGGGGGCTTTGATTAATGCACCTTTCCAAACAAGTATATGTTTATTACGTATGAATCGAAGTACTGTTGGATTTGTATGCAGCTACACTACAGTACATGTGCTACACTGCTTAGCTTCCATGTGTCAGAGGTGGATTAATTGCGGCGTCAACTCAACACAACCTGATTTTATGGTCTCCTGACAATCATCGACCACGCTGCGTCTGAACTTTAATTCAGGTCAACATCTTGGATCTGCTGCACACAGTGTGAGCTGTTGTAATGGGTACTATTATTACTGCTAGACATTATTTTTGCATTGCTGATTTGTTTACAAGAGCTGTCACAGAGGTGTTACCGATGCACACACAGAATGTTGATATAGGTATTTACTTTGGAGTTTGCATGGTTTGTAAATCACTTAAATCAAATATCTCATCTTGCATTTTAAAAAGATATTGGGTATGTTTATTAGCTTAGCTTAGGGAACGAGCTTACATATAACATATCTAAAAACAATTACTACTCACAATTCTCACAATGTTTTGGCTCTAGGTTGCTGGACAATGTGGTGGAGATACATCTTTAAATGTGTGTAGCCTCACATGTTCTGCAGCTCCTGGGTGGACGACCCAGCAGTGGCTCCAGGCACCGGGGTCGGGACCCTCTCTGACAGGGAACTGGTCTAGGAATAAAATATTGTTATTATTTGTCACTCCATGTGTCTGAAGGTCTGTTCTTATTCACATCGCGCTCCGACAACAGCGGGAGACTTGAAAGCAGCTGCCTGTGTTTTCGCCTTTCAAGAGTAAATTAACTTAAGCCTACAGACTGATATTGGACAGAGTGTATAGTGTATATTGGAACCCAATTTTATTTAGATTTCATCATCCTTTGAGCTTATTGACTTTCACTGAATGTTTATCTACAATTAACCTTTGAGTTTTGTCTTGATATTGTAATTCTTAATACCTATAAACGATCATTTAGTTATAGAAAATTGTTGATTCTTGTTCATTTCATCTTGAAACATGATTCTAAATCTTAAAAAAAGCTCCAGTGTGTTGGAGTTTGGGGCATCTAGCAGACAGTTTCCTTCACCCTCCCCTTTCAAGCTCGAAGAAGAAACTACGGTGGCCATGAAAAACACGAAAAACGGCCCTATCTAGAGCCAGTGTTTGGTTTGTCCCTTGTGGGCTACTGTAGAAAAATGCAGATTAAACATGACAGACTCCACTGAGGGCGACCCACAGCGTCAGTAGAAATAAACGGCTCATTCTGAGGTAAGAATAACACAACAATTCCTATATTTAGGTGATTATCCACTAATGAAAACATACCTGTGAATATTATATTCCATTTTTGCTAATAGATGCTC